TGGTTCAGTGGAGTGGAGAAGAGAGGAGGGCTGGAATCTTGCCCTTCCCTATAGACCTAGTCCTAGGCCAAACCAAATGGCTGCAGCCTCTCCTAGCTTGTGTTCTTCTTCATCAATAATGTTTTCTATTCTGACCATGTTCTGATGTTGCTTGACCACTTGTGTCCTGGTTTTCATCTGTGAAATAGTGGAGGGCATGCAAAGAGAGAGCATAACCTGGGCTTGCCTACAATTTTTGTTACCTGGGGCAGTGCAACAAAGAGCACTCAATGTATGCACAATTCAAAATGTATCCTACCTAACGCCAGTCAAAACATTCTGGTGCATGGGATAGAAAATCCTACAAATCCCCTTCCTTGCGAGAGTGTTGAGTTAATTTCACTTCATTCACACTATTGGGGAAGCAACCATGGACATCTACCCCAAGTGCATTTCGGTGGAAGTAATCCCTTCTCATTGCCAGAATCAATTTTGCAGTGGATTTCTGCCTTCTTTTGAGATATGGGGCATGATTTTGTTTATACCTGATTAAAAGAATGTGGTGAAGTAATACATTTATTTATTGTATTTTATTCCGTCCAGGACGGAAACATGATTTGCAGTCACGCGCCATAGCGCCGAAACGGTGCATGTGCAAAAAGATCAATTCCAATGTACTAATGATTCATTCATGGATGTGTGCAGAACACAATCTTGATATTATTTGGCATTTATGTCACAATTATCACACAACTGCACATATCTTGCTAGCTGCTGTAACTGCAAGAGCTGTGTCCAGGGTCAATGTCATAGGTAAGGTAATAAGAACAATTTTTAAACAGACTGTCCTGCCCTGAAACCATCTATTTGTCTAACAAAAATTATATTTATGCTAGAAGGGTTACAAAGAAGGGTTATTTTCTCTAGAAGGCCTTGCAACCTACGCAAAATAACTTTTTGCCCATGCGCACTGCCTCTCTTTTCATGTAATGCTGAAAGGTCTATAAATTGTTGATGCTTTCAAATAAAATTTGTCCATCTGACTAGCTCCTATCTCTCA